GGACTCCAGTTGATAAATCAAGGGTAGTTGATTGATGATTTTGAATTCTGACCTGCTGTTGTCTTATTCCTAAATACGATTGTATCCAGTTAAGTGTATCTGGGGAGAAGTTGAAAGCAGATAATTTTGAGACTAGGACTTTATGATTTACCGTATCAAATGCCTTTTTGAGATCAAGAAAGACAGCTGCTACCACACCACCTCTGTCCATCAGAGTCTTAATTTTTTCGGTGAAAAAACAATTAGCTGTTTCGGTCGAATAATTAGTTCTAAAACCAAATTGCATTGGATGCAGTGAAAAAGGGGGATGTGTTTAGGTAATCAGAACTGTCCCATTCACACCATCAGTGGTGGAAGAAGTGAAATATAGTAATACCAGAGTGTAAAGATACTCCATTACAAGTCTAGCATTCAAATGCATGTATTTTTAGTTACGCATTAATGTGTAAGCAGTATAATATGTTGCAGCTATAGTGGTAGAGCAGTTCTTCATGAGCGTTTGAGTAAAAAAAGTACAATATTAAGGAGTATAGGATACGCAGCATGAAATGGAAGTACTCAAGTAAAGTAGAAGTACCTTTAAATTGCTCTTAAGTACAGTATACTTGAGTGAATGTACATTCCACCATTGCACCAACCGGTTGGGCAATTGGCTGAATATATCAGCTTTCGGCCATCGCTGGTTATTTTCTTTGGCCTATTTTTCATTTAGCTAATTTATTGGTCTACCTAAAGAAATTGAGAGGTGCTCAGTGACAGACATTCAGCGGTGCAGTACACACACTGAGCCAAAGAATAAGTGAGAGGAAAAACAGCTGTAGAGTGTATTTTCACTTCTAACTGCGGTGAATTAAGGCTTTATTTCGACCAGTTTGACAACAGGGCATACAGTTACAAGGTGATTTGCAGACAAGAGAATAACTGGGGGGAAGATGTGGACCGAGCCAGGAGAGGAGAGGCGTGAAGCGGGTAGAGGAGCGAGGGAGGTCGGGGGGCATCAGAGAGGCAACGACTCATAGAGCCAGAATATTTTCAGGTCTAACTCTGTTAGATGGTTAGCCACCAGAGTTTGTGATTGTTGGAACAGTGGAAAGACTAATAAAGATGGTTTGGTGAGTTTTATTCTGTTTCTGTTGAGTATGAATGATGTGTGTCTT